AATGTACAAAATTAAAAAAAAATAAACATCTATGCCATATGTGAAAAAAAATATTTTTGTTATTACTTAAAAAAAAAATCTAGGGTCCTCCCTAGTGGCACAATGGTTAAAGACACACAACTGTCAAGCAATCACCAGTCACTGCAACATCAGTTCAATCCCTGGGAGATAACCCACATAACCCAGAGCAGCAACAGACCTCTCCTGTCTTGCCCGCTGCTCCCAACAATCAGTAGATGATGCACCTGTTCTGCTCCCCATTTTGTTTCTGGTGAATCCTCTCACACCCTCCACACATATCTCTTCCTACAACCCAGTTCTTGTATGCATAAATAAATCTTTAAAAAAAAAAAACACTGAAGTTTATCTTCACAGTGTAAAAAGAGACTCATCTTGCCTTGTGCAAGGTACTTAATAAAATCTCACCAAAATATTTTACTTAACAGAAGATTATAAGTGAAATAATTTGTGGTATGTGAGAGTAACCAAAATGTAGATGTTTTGTTGAAAGTATGGAAGAACTCAGTAAAAATATTGACCTGTGTTCTTTTTACTCATAGATTCTTTCACATTTGCTCTTTCTTTACTTACTGTATTTTAAAACATAATTCCTATTGTTTTATAGGTCCACTCAGCTGTTGAAGAAATGGATGGATTAGATGATGTTGAAAACAGTATGTTGTATTATAATCAAGCGGTCATTCTGTATCATCTGCGGCAGTATACAGAAGCAATATCAGTTGGTGAAAAACTTTATCAGTTCATAGAACCTTTTGGTATGTTTTGTGTTAAGTGAAAAATTTCCCTGTCTTCTCATACTTACAGAGGTCTCTGGTACTATTAACCAGATAACCTAAATCAGAGAATTGAAGTACGTATTTAAAGAAAGAAAAGAAAGGGCAGCTATCCTGCCACATGGGACTGTGCAGGCACCTCTCTTTTTCTTCTTCCTCCTTTTCCTGTAAAAAAAAAAAGAGAGAGAGAGAAAGAGAAAGCAAGATTCGTAGGTTTTTCTGTAAGATTTTCTTATTGGCTAGAAAATATTGTTAAGATCGGTGCAGGAACTGTGAGAGGATTCACCAAGACAGAGCGGGGAGAGGTCTTCTGTACCATTGGGTCAGCTCCCTGGCTGCGATCGAACTTGTGCTTCAGTGGCTACAGATAGTTTCACAGTGCAGCGCTTTAACCCATTGTACCACCAGAGAGGGCCCCCACAACTCTTAATTCTTAATATGTTTGGTTCGTTATCCCTGCTAGTGCTTTCCAGCTCTCAGAATTTGCTAGAAGTGTTTGTACATGTGTCTCCTGCTTTCTCTAAGTGGTACTTCTGTGCAGAGTCTCATTCTGGGCACCGTGACATACCTTTTTCAGCTTATTCCACTTTCATTACTGTTTTGTTTCATTTAATGAGTATCTTTTGTTCTGACTGGAAAAGTTACTAGATTGTTTTAATGAATCAAAGAAAATGTAGTAGTTATTCATGTTATGAGTTCAACCATTGTAAACCCAAAGCTCCTTAATTTATCTAAAAATCCTTGTTTCTGGCTGAGAATTAATCCTTTTTTTCCCCATTAACTATGAAGAAATGTCAGCTTTAATGGAAATTGAGTTTTCTCTATTTAAAGAGACTTTATAATCACTTAAAGACAGTGAAATGATAAATGAAAATTATAAAGAACTCCCAAACTTTGAGATGTGCATGCTTTCAGTTTAACTAAGACCAATTAACAGTTGATTTCCTCTCGCAGTTCATATTGTGGGTGACTGAAGTCTGCAGAAATCTGATTACAAATCACTGTGTAAAGTGAACCTTCTAATCCCTTGCTCTCAAATGTAAATTTTTTTCTATTGGCATCAGATGTGGATGTTAGAATTCTAGTAAAATCATTAAAAGTCTATCCCAGGCCTTCTCTGGTGGCACAACAGGTTAAGGTGCAGTGCTTCGAAGCTGGGTGCAGTCTCTTCAGCAAGAGTTCGATCCCCGGTCAGGGAGGTGCACGTCTCATCCGCTGCTCCCCTCAGCAGTTTACTTCATCAGCCTGCCTGTTCTGTTTCCCGCTCTGTCTCTGGTGAATCTTCTCACTGTCCTGCACCTCTGACCTGTATGCCAGTTCTGTATGCTTAAATAAGTAGTTCTTTAAAAAAATAAAATAAAACAATCTATTGCAAATTAAAACCACAATGAGATACCACCTCACACCAGTGAGAATGGCACATCTTCAAACAACTAGCAACAACAAATGTTGGCAAGGATGTGGAGAAAAAGGAACTCTCCTGCACTACTGGTGGGAATGCAAACTAGTACAACCACTATGGAAAACTGTTTGGAGGTTCCTCAAATTG